TTGCCTCTAATTGAGATGTAAATTAGGTGTACTTTTAAAAGTACATAATTCTAGAGTCCAATGATGTACTTTTAAAAGTACGTACTTTTAAATGTTATTAGCCCGGCCCGGATTTAAATGCATGTATCTCTGCTCATATAATAGACATAGTATACATTTTATTCTTTTTGGAAAAGTTGTACTATCGCAAATCTGTAGATGTCGCACAGTTTGATCAAAATATTGAGTATATCCACCAAATGAGAGCTTCTAGAAGTTGAAATTTTTCCCGTGACAGATTCGTTAACATAGTTTTTTAAAGTGCCCGACAATGATGTACTTTTAAAATTACGTACTTTTAAAAGTACATTATCTTCGAATGATGTACTTTTAAATATACAGGTTACAGGTTTCACGAAAAATGTATTTTTAAAATTTCAGGTTTATATCTACACAAAGTGTGTTGGCTTAATTAAGGCAAGTGCCAAGTAAGACTGTCCTAGCAGGTAAATTGTTCTGAATCAGAACGGAAGTCACAACTCACAACAGAAACTTATACTTTCATTTTGTGCAGTATTTAACTTGGTTCTCAATTTATTATACTGTCAGCAGTGCTCTCCGTGGGGCATGAAATCTCGATTTTGTTCTAACGCAATTTTACCTTTCGATGTAGATTCAAAAGTGGCAGCACATTGACACATTGCTGGTTTATTGACTGACATTTTTTAGCTTAGTATTTTCTTTTCTTAGTATAATTTGTCTTTTCTTAGTATATTCTTAGTACATGAGTACATGAGTACAATGTACATGAGTACCCTAGTACCTGAGAAACCACATCTTGGTTCATGTAACCCCGATGATTGTTAAAGAGCAACATGGTTTTCTGTCTAAAAGATCTTGTATCTCAAATCTTTTAGAGTGTATGGAAATAGTGAGCGAAATACTGGCAAGGGATGGTTCAGCTATACTACCCTTTACCTGGACTTCCAGAAAGAATTTGATTCCGTGCCACACGGAAGACTACGTAAACTTGAGACCTTAGGAATTACTGGAAAAACACTCTCAATTTTAGCTTTCTAACAGGAAGAAGGTTCCAGATGAGAGTAGGATCCTCATTCTCTAGCTTTACGCTTATTTCTGTTACATCAGGTGTCGGGATTGATCTGGCGAACTAAAGTCTCCATACTCGTTTGAAGTGAGTGTTGACTGTTGGGCAACGTTCTCCATCTGGCATCTTTCCCTTGGATTTGTCAGATGCAGTAAAAAGGAGGAGGGGAAAGAGGAGCCCTGAGAAAGATGCGGCCCAGATGTGTTATATAATACACTACTGTTATGTAATATAATATTACTTCTTCACATCTGTAACCATGAGATACAATCCAATTATAGGTTTTCACATTTGCATTGGTGAACTTATTTATTGAATGGCTAATACTAAACTACACCATGACCAGGACTATAAATGCGACGTAGGGGATCTTGTTTACAAAGAATGGGGGATACAGTGGGAGCCGGCTCGAGTGCAGAAGATATATAAAGGAGGATCAGGAGGGATCAAGATTCAATTTGTGGAATGTAAGAGAAAGCTGGATGTCCACAGAAAAACTTTAAAGACTACTCTGAAGGAGAAGAAAGCTAAAAACAGGACAATTCTAGAGGAATAGAATAGAGCAGCAGAAGCTGAGAGAATTCTAGAGGAACATAATATAGCTGCAGAAGCTGAGAGAATTCTAGAGAACAGAATAGAGCAGCAGAGATGAGAGAATTCTAGAGGAACAGAACAACACAGCTGAGGAAATGCATAGACTACAAGAGCTAGAGGAAGGGAATCTTATGTTGGAACAGTAGATTGCTGATGGTACACAATCATGTCAGTATTCAATAGTAAACATACATCGTAAACCAGTTGCAAGATCTAGGATTGTAAAAATTAAGAAAGATAATAATAATATTATTATCTTTTTTAATAATTAATATTCGTGCAAATAAAACACAGGAAACCTTATGGTCATGTTAGAGATTGATGGGTCCCTTTTTTCCTACTAATTACCTACTTTTCACTGTCAATCAGTTATGACTTCATAAAATCCAAACCATAGCTTGCTTGCAGAAAATATTTCACCACAGTATTCCTATGACACTTCTCTACATATTCGTGTCATCAGAAAATCCAAATATCAACTTTGGTGGAGCCAGTGACCATTAAAAAAACACAAGTGCTCCACTTGTGGGAAGGTGGATGTGGCATATCTGTATTTATCCATGTCTACAGGTGGAGAAGGCATATGGGAACACGTATTGTTTCGGTTGAGACACTTTTGGTGTACAACCTAGGTGGAGCGGCCAGTGTAAAATAGGTCAACTTATACCAAGTGAAAACATGATCATATTATTATAATTTCTACCAAAACTTCATTGTAAACTCAATGGCACATATTTTTTAATACCATTTGCTTTGTTAGGAGGTCCCATAAGGTCCCAACTCAAGTGGAGCAGACTCATTCTAAAACTTGACTTGTTCAAAATCAGTCATTTTGCCATTAAACTTGTCTCAGACATGACAGGGATTAGGTGGTAAATGATCTGTGAATATTATTCCAGGCGCTAATTATCATAATACTATGGTGATTAAGACTGCCAAAAACTGCTCAACGAAGGTGGAGCTCGTATTTAAAAGCCAAAATTTTGGACGTTTAAAACCATCTTTTAAGAGTACTAAAATTAGAACTAATTGAACTTATAGCTTTCTAATATGTTTAATAGTTCACCCCTAAGTGATTTATAAAGTAGTGATTACCCTGGGATCAACCTGGTGGAGCAGAATTGGGTCTTTAGTTACTGTATTTAGGAAGAAATTCGTGGACTTAAATATCCCTCTCATATCTTGTCCCCTCAGCTAGCAATCCTAGTACAGTGGTATATAATAATTATATTGACCAATTAGATCAACCTGGTGGAGCACTGGGAGCTAAATCTATATTACAGAGTGTTGCGTGAGAACTTATGTAATACGTAATAGATTAAAATAGAGCTGAGTTTGAGAGTATATAAATTAGAGACGTAAACTAGTGATTTTCTATTTACTGCTCCACCATAGTTGATCATAATTGGGAATGTTTGATCATTAAAATGAGTTAACAATTATCATATCTTTCTGATGAAATCATTGATTGAGTTCAAAATGTCTGTATCAACCTGGTGGAGCACTTTAAACACATTTTTAGACGCTAAGTTTTTAGACGCTAAGTTGACGTTTGCTCCACCAGGTTGAACAACCCTGGTCCTTTAGCCCAGCTAGATATTAAGATATGACAATTGTGATTGTAGTTAATGCAGTTTTAGAGCCATTTTGGGTTTGTATCAGCTGTGGTGGAGCCTCAGTTTTTGATATATTTCTACTGTTCAATCTGCATCAAAACCATAAATTAGAGACGTAAACTAGTGATTTTCTATTTACTGCTCCACCATGGTTGATCATAATTTGAGAGTTTTAAATATCAGAACAGGTGCTCAGTTATCACAACTCTCTTTAAATACAACTGACAGGCATCAAACAGCATGTCTCAGTCAGGTGGAGCACTTTTAAATCTTAACATGGTGTTGGTATGGTATAACATGGTGTTGCTCCACCGGGTTGAGCTAATTTACTAATTATTCACACTCATATCACATACCATGACACTTATCGATGGAAGGGACGAAGTTTTAAACACCATAGAGGTTGTTAACATATTTTTATATCAAGTTTATATTTACACTGTCAAATTTTCAAAAAATGCATTTTCAACACTTGTAGTTTAACTGACCTAACCTGTTGCTCCACCTTGGTTGAACTAGGTAGGGGATAAAACCTTAATCCTGTGACATGCTTGAGATTCAGGAGCTTACAAATAAACAAGAATGGAGATCCAGTGACAATGCTAACCCCGGGTTGAGACAGCTTTAAGGTCTAAATTTGATGGCTCCACCAGGTTGAGACATATTTGAATTTAAAAACCGCATCATTGAACTGGAAATTTCTCCAGATAAGAATTCCGTGATATAACTGGCACCGCCTGAGGGATTTTAGTTTTTTTACCAAAGCCCTGCTCCACCCAATTTGCTTCACCTGATTAGAATGGCTATAGTTTCGCTCCAGGTTGAGCTTTTAATTTCTTTTCTTTTTTATGAGGAGGATGTGATTTTTCGCTACCTAAGCTAAGCTATGTATCCAAATGTCACAGTATAGCTCCACTAACACAGGATGATTTATTAGAAAAAAGTAAAAAAGGGACCCATCAATCTCTAACATGACCTTATCCAAAGGGGCATTTTGGGGGTCACAAAGGCGCATATCTCGAAACTTAAAGATCACACTTTCTTCAAACTTTTCACGCAGTTGTATGGTCAGGAGACGGATAATCGGTGAAATTTTGGGCTAATTTTAGGCAGCCGAACTCAAGATAGGGCATTTTTGGGGTCACAAAGGCCCATATCTCGAGACTTAAAGATCACACTTTCTTCAAACTTTTCACGCAGTTGTATAGCCAAAAGACAGATAATCGGTGAAATTTTGGGCTAATTTTAAGCAGCCGAACTCAAGATAGGGCATTTTTGGGGTCACAAAGGCCCATATCTCGAGACTTAAAGATCACACTTTCTTCAAACTTTTCACGCAGTTGTATAACTAGGAGACGGATAATCGGTGACATTTTGGGCCAATTTTAAGCAGCCGAACTTGAGATATTCGTGCAAACACAGGAAACCTTATCCAAAGGGGCATTTTGGGGGTCACAAACTTTAATATTGAAGTAGAGGTCTATATAACTATAACTATACGTGGAACAACCGGGTGAAAACGTGAATCTTTCAAGATCGACCAAACCCCCAAAATCAAATAAGATGGCTGAAGTTATGATAGAAATCACGAATAGAATTATTCGTGAACAAAAGAACTAATTTACGGAACTTAAAAATATACATATCTTGATGGCAGCCATATTATTGTGATATAATAGAAATAACATTCTATCTAATTTCAGTTGATGGAGGATACGGTGCTTTTGGAGATTGGTCTAAGTGCTCTGCTGACTGTGAGGGAGGAACCCAAACCAAAACCAGACAATGTAACAACCCCGCTCCCAGGCATGGTGGTAAAGACTGTGAAGGAGACGATTCTAAAACTCAACCATGTAACGAAGATCCTTGCCCAGGTAATTTTAATATAAAACTTACCAGTTCCGAGTTTTTATAGATGTAAAATCTTTATCTGAAAGATTCCTATTTTCAATAATTTCTCCCGAGAAAAAATCTATCAAAGATGAAATAGTTTTGTATGTAGTAACGTGTATAAATGGGATATTCCTGTATTTTTCAATCAAATTTTATAGAAGCGGATATTTTCGAATTATTCATGAACAGAAGAATTAATTTACGGAACTTAAAATATATATCTTGATGGCAGCCATATTTTTGTGATATAGAAATTACATTCTATCTAATTTCAGCTGTTGATGGAGGATACAGTGCTTTTGGAGATTGGTCTAAGTGCTCTGCTGAGTGTGACGGAGGAACCCAAACCAGAACTAGACAATGTAACGACCCTGCTCCAAGTAATGGTGGTAAAGAATGTGAAGGAGACGATTCCGAAACTCAAACATGTAACGAAGACCCTTGCCCAGGTAATCTTATTATAAAACTTACCAGTTTCGAGTTTTTATAGATGTAAAATCTTTATCTGAAAGATTCCTATTTTCAGGTGCTTCTTGAAAATAATTTCTTCCGAGAAAAAATCTATCAAAAATAAAATAGTTTTGTACAGTAATAACGTGTATAAATTCCTGTCTTTTTCATTCAAATTTTATAGAAGCGTATATTTTCGAATTATTCATGAACAAAAGAATTGATTTACGGAACTTAAAATAAATATCTTGATGGCAGCCATATTATTGTGATATAATAGAAATAACATTCTATCTAATTTCAGTTGATGGAGGATACAGTGCTTTTGGAGATTGGTCTAAGTGCTCTGCTGAGTGTGACGGAGGAACCCAAACCAAAACCAGACAATGTAACGACCCTGCTCCCAGGCATGGTGGTAAAGACTGTGAAGGAGACGATTCCGAAACTCAAGCATGTAACGAAGACCCTTGCCCAGGTAATCTTATTATAAAACTTACCAGTTCCGAGTTTTTATAGATGTAAAATCTTTATCTGAAAGATTCCTATTTTCAGGTGCTTCTTGAAAATAATTTCTCCCGAGAAAAAATCTATCAAAGATGAAATAGTTTTGTATGTAGTAACGTGTATAAATGGGATATTCCTGTCTTTTTAATCAAATTTTATAGAAGCGGATATTTTCGAATTATTCATGAACAGAAGAATTAATTTACGGAACTTAAAATACATATCTTGATGTCAGCCATATTATTGTGATATAGAAATTACATTCTATCTAATTTCAGTTGATGGAGGATACAGTGCTTTTGGAGATTGGTCTAAGTGCTCTGCTGACTGTGAGGGAGGAACCCAAACCAAAACCAGACAATGTAACGACCCTGCTCCCAGGCATGGTGGTAAAGACTGTAAAGGAGACGATTCTAAAACTCAAACATGTAACGAAGATCCTTGTCCAGGTAATTTTATTATAAAACTTACCAGTTCCGAGTTTTTATAGATGTAAAATCTTCATCTGAAAGATTCCTATCTTCAGGTGTTTCCTGAAAACAATTTCTTCCGAGAAAAAATCTATCAAAAATAAAATATTTTTGTACAGTAACGTGTATTAATTTATATTCCATTTATGGGATATTCCTGTCTTTTTCATTTCAATTTTATAGAATCAGATATTTCCGAATTATTCATGAACAAAAGAATTAAATAACGGAACTTAAAATACATATCTTGATCATGATCGTGGCAGCCATATTTTTGTGATAGGAACGCATTTTTGTGATCGGACAAATAAGGTCCGATAAGGTAGATATGATAATTTCTATCTACCTTATCGAATCTTATTTGAACGGACATTAAATTAACAGACATAATTATGAACGGACATTAGTATATATTTTCGAATTATCCATGAACAAAAGAATTAATTTACGGACTCTAAAATACATATCTTGATGGCAGCCATATTATTGTGATATGAATTACATTCTACATTGAACGGACATTAGTATGAACAATCCTCATTACTATTAGTATGAACAATCCTCATTTTTTTAAACGTTTTTTTATTTCAGCAAATGATTTTAAATCCATTTTTATACAGATTATGATGCAAATTGTAGAGATAGATTTAACGCCAGATCTTGTGCTTTTATTTTTAATGGAAAGAGGTGCCAACAGAGCGGAGACAAATGCCGAAAAACATGCAAAATCTGTACAGGTTAGTTACATTTTTATTTTGTTACCGACTACCGTTGCTATTTGATCAAATAAATCTTTTGCTTTATCGAAGTTATGTATAACCCCCTCCCTTCAATCCCAAGGCCAGCCCCCGCCCCCAGCCCACTCTTTCTGGTATCTCCACGTAACTTCATTTACAGATTTAAAATACAAGCCAGTTTATGATGAGAATTGTAAAGATACTTACAGCCCTTCTTTTTGTGGAAATTGCCAAAAAGGGTACCGACAATACTGCTTGAAAACATGCAAAATCTGTACAGGTTAGTTATTATATTTTGTTACTGTTGCTATTTGATCACATAAACCTTTTGCTTTATTGAAGTTACGTATAAGGACACGTTTTTTAAGTGTGGTGAAAATGACTTGGAGTGCCATGACAGTTTTTATAGTGAAAGTGAAATGACTAGTAACTAGAAAGTTTTTCACAGAAATGCCTTCAATCTTAACTGCCCCTATAAGGAAAATCCATTAGTTAGTCAATATGTCATAATATAGTACCAAGGTAGTGCCAGTTTTCAGCATTTTGGACTATAATGTTTAAAACGCCCGTAAAAAACTGAATTTTGCGACTTTTCTGTTCTAAATTCAGATTATTATATATATATCTCAGAATTATTCAAGAATATTTGGATTTTGGTAGGAATACTTAAACTGTGCTCAAAATAAGCAAAAAGTCATTTGTTTGATAAAATTTCTAGTTTGGTCGAAGGAGTTGTACAATGCCCATACTTTCGATCAGCTTGTGAATGAACTGCAACAACTTTTAAGAAACGTTGGTCTGTAATAATGGAGCCTAGCAAAAACCTATTGTGTGCCTGTATTCAGTAAAAATTCACTCAAAAAATTACAAGTGAGCTTTTTTACATTGCAATAGCTACTAGCTAGACAGCCACAAATTAGAACGTTTTTCAAGCATACTGTCGAGATTAAATCTGCTCAACAGCATTCTGTTCGAAAATCAAATTAAGAGTGTGTCAGTTTTCAGTCAAAAGTCATTTTTAGGTCAAAAGACAAAAAGTCAAAAGAAATGACTCTTTGCTGAATATTGGCACTATACAATTGATGTCTGACAGAATTTAAAGCAGGTTCATCAAGATGATTCTTTACAAAATCTAACGATATTGTGTGTTCTAATTCAGCAAAAGCCATTTTATATAAATAATATTTCTAGCTTAAAATCTTCATAAAAATGAATTTTTGCTGATTATTAGCACAATAAAGTAGATTTCTGACAACAATATCATGTTCATCATGGAAATTTGGTACATACTATTGATGTTTGAAGTTCATTGTGCCAGTTTTAAGTTAGTTATAGCAGGTTATCATAACACTGCATACAAAGCACATATTTTATGTGATTTACTATTGGTATATGCCTAGAAAAAGAAGTCACTTTAAGCTGGATAATGGCACACAGTGCAACAAAATTGTGCCACACACACAATAAAAGGCACACTCCTCCCTCAAACAATATTCCAAACTTTAAAAAGTGCCATTTAGCAATAAAAATGATTATTTCTGTCAAACAAGTCACTTTTTTACTGATTTCCAGGACACATATGCTGTTTAAATTTTCAAGATATAATTATAACTAAACTAAGATTTATATCTGCAACATAAACAATTCGGTGGTTTGAGATTTTTGATAATGCTTATATTGACTTAAAATAGTCGGTAATTCCCACGATGGCTGCAGTAGTCACTACAGCTGATAAGTGGCACTCTAATATAATTATCTGTTTTTGACCCCTTTATGAACACATTACTTTTCGAAATAGATGCTTAAACTAAGGCTAACATAAGATATATTCTTGTGAACTCGGCTAGTATATATTAAACATTTGTCATGGAGTTGTAGAGGGAGTTATGTGCCTCGCCGGGCTAAAGTAGTGGATGACCTTGCTGTACGGCAAGTTAAACAAGGATCTGAAACTACTAGGTTCCGTACAGACTCAACTCTGCACCCGTGTCAATATGTTCATTATATGCAAGCCTCTTGATTTATACCCATGGATTAAGAAATAGACATGTAGGATTAGGAATTAGTTTAACGACACAACCAAAAATTATCTTATCTATAAAAAACACGCCTTCATCTTTTTAATATTTTGCAAGAACCATCACTATTCATGTATGAAAGTGACTTTTTGCTGGATTCTGTCACCTACTGGAATTGCTAATGATGACTAAAATACTGAAAACAGTTACACACTGAACAATTTTTGCGCGAAATGTGACAAAATCAATGAATTTAGTCATGTTGAGGTTAATTTAGCAGTGCAAATTTTGGAATTTGGCCGCCAAATTTTTTCAAAGGCCTAACTCAAAATTCTGTCCCAAAACTTAAGGTCATGAGACAATTCTACGTTGATTCTGAAACTTCCATGAAAAAATATTGAAACCCTATTGAGTTCTATTGTTTTGAGCGAAGTCAATTTTGCAAATATCGCGAACTGAGATATGGGCAATTTTGTTCATTTTTTGCGATTATTTGAACACAGAATCCACAGTTAGGTAGATACTGAGCTGATAATCATAGATAATGTGTAGTATAGGCTTACGTTCCATATAAAGTTTGTTTCATTCAAAAATATTGATACTTGCCCAATTTATGGGCCAAAATCGATCAAATTTGGTGCGTATGCCCAAATATGGTCATATGGTTTTTTGCTCATAACTCAGTTATTTTTTGTTCAATCTTGATGAAAATTCATACACGAGTTCAGAGAACCACTAGCTACAAGTAGAGCACCTAAAATCTGGATTTTTGGCATGTTCAGGGTATTTGGCTAAATTGGGCCTAATTTGGACCAAATATGGGCGTGACCCCCTCAAAAGTTTGGTCACTGGTCCTAGTTTGTTGGTCAACTGCTATCTCGAAACCAAGGTTCACAAAAAAATCAGGGTGAACCCCCCCCCCCCCCCCCCTTAAAATGATTCAGCTGATTTTTGGCACTTAGTTTAATTTTTCATTGTTCATATTCTGCTTGAGCCTGGAACTTCGTTTTTTCAAATCACAACTGCTGAATATTTTCACTTCATCCTATGAACAAATTTATGGTTGCACTTTAAAAAGCACTGCGACATTTTCCTCATTTTGTGCAGTCTACTTTGAAAAAGGTAAAATCAGCAACACACCACACTTTTAAAAAAATGTGTCCATAACCTCCCTTCCTCCCCCTAAAGATATACCTGAGAAGAAAAAAGACAAGCCAGTTAATGATGAGTTTTGTGACGATAGACTTGACGCCGGTTCTTGTTCTTCAGTTTTACGTGCCGGGAATTGCCAACGGACGGGAAAATACTGCCAGAAAACATGCAACATGTGTACAAGTTAGTTACATTTTTATTTTCATCGTTGCTATTTGATCACAGAAACCTTTTGCTTTATTGAACTTACGTATAACCCCCGCCCTCCCCCTAAATACATACCTAAGGAGAAAAAAGATATGCCAGTTTATGATGAGTCTTGTAACGATAGTCTTAACGTCGGTTCTTGTTCTTCAGTTTTACGTGCCCCCTGTTTGGCACCAAATTTCCTCCAAAATCCAAAATTTCCTCGCAGGTTATCTGCTGATCTGCCGTCTTTCAGGATGTGGGCCAGCAGATCTGATCACATATAATACATGGGAAAATTAAAAAAGTGCCCTTCCCCCACCCCCCCCCCCCCCCCCTCCACGTAATGGTAACTTCATTTATAGATACGAGTGATAAATCCGAAAAATCTGATACTGAAGAGAAATTACCTGAAAATGATAGTGATGATAACGAAGACGCTAGAAAAAATGATACAGAAGACGATACTGAGAATGAAATTGATGATAACGAAGACGCTAAAACAGATGATACGGAAGACGATACTGAGACAGAAAGTGATAAAAAACCTGAAGACAAACCTAAGGAGAAAGAAAACGAGCCAGTTTGTGATAAGGAATGCTTTAATAAATGGCCGAGGTCATTATGTTCTTCAGTTTTACGTGGCGGTAATTGCCAACGGATGGGAAAAAACTGCAAGGAAACATGCACAACCTGTACAAGTTAGTTACATTTTTATTTTGTTACCGTTGCTATTTTATCACAGAAACCTTTTGCTTTATTGAAGTTACGTATAAACCCCCTCTCCCCTTCTTGCCTTAACTCCCCGCGCCGTAATGGGAACTTCGTTAATCATTTATAGATACGTTATTGTAATGTAAACTGAATGGAGTTGGGTTAAAAATAAATAAATAAAGACGATTTACACTAGTATTTTGAAAGCTCCTGCTAATAAATATCCCCCTCCAGGGTGTAAAGGCGATACGAATCGAAGATCAAGTAAATCAAGCGTTGCATTTCAGCTATGCAAAATTACAATGACATATATTTTGATTTATACAAATTGATAAATGGTTCTGCAATATAAGTTTCTTAATGTTTGGCTGGATGACAACTAACTAAAAAATGAAAATAAACTTGATTACATAATAATTAATTCGACTGAACCAACACATAGCAAGAGCCACATTAACGTTTGGGCCGTCTACCAAATTTGAATGACAAACAATAACAATAAATCAAACGTATCATAAATAATTACAGACGTTGCGTGGTTATCAAATGGTGAGAAAGTCGAATTACAAAGGGAATTAGAAAGTGGATCTTGTGAGGACTTTGACCCCCTTTGTAAGGACAAAGAAATAGCTTCGCAGTGCGATGAAGATTCTACGTTACAAAAGATCTGTCCAGCAAGTTGTGGACAATGTGGTATGTGATTTAATAATTAAACAATTAATTGACTTACTGATTATTTTATTGGTTAATCTGGTTTTTAAGATATTTTAAATAAGCGCAGTCTTGAACAGTGAACACGCTTGGTCTCATGATATCTTTCAACTTCCCGCAATGGTTTAGTGATCCGGTTACAAAGTGATGATGCTGACGAAACTAAGGAAGATGATAACGGGAAGGAAAGTGATGATGCTGACGAAACTAAGGAAGATGATACTGGGAAGGAAAGTGATGATGCTGACGAAACTAAGGAAGATGATACTGGGAAGGAAAGTGATGAAGATGCTGAAGAAGATATTAAGACTTGTGAACTTAACAGTGAAGATAACCATCCCGATAAAACAGTGTGTGGTAAATGGAAATCATACGGATTTTGCGAACGTTATAAATCAGTGAGGGATTACGATTGTAAGAAGACATGCTGTTATTTTAAAGGTTAGTTAATACTAGTTTTACTTGTTGTACTTGTTGTACTTGTTGTAAGTATTATTATATTATAAGGATACATTATTGAAAGTTATTGACGTTAATTTGTCTTCTCATTGTTCATTGTTTAATTTTGATTTATCTATTTGTTAAGACAACTACAAAGTCAAAATTCTCTCGAAATTGACTTTGTAGTTGTTTCTGATGGAGGGGAGTAATATCTATCAGCTGTTTTTGGTCCCATGGAAAAATATTTTTCCTAGCCGAAATTATTGCCTGTCAAAGGTCAGCGCTTATGTGTAATTGTATTGCGCGAGCGATTTTCAATCACGCGCCCTGAAAATCGATTTTGAAAATCTTGGACCTCGTATTTTGACGATTTTTTCAGGTCCAAGATTTTCAAAATTGAATAAAAAATTTTCTAAGGCCTATCTCAAAATTCTGGTCCGACAATCTCTTCTAAATGGTCCTAAGAACATATCCTGAAAGTTTCAGGGTGATTACTCAAAAAATGTAGGAGAAGATAGATTTTTAGACTCGATTTTCAGGGCGGCGCGATTGAAAATCGCTAGCGCAATACAATTACACATAAGCGCTGACCTTTGACCGGCAATAATTTCAGCTAGGAACAATATTTTTCCATGGGACCAAAAACAGCTGATAGATATCACTCCCCTCTATCAGAAACAACTACATAGTCAATTTCGAGAGAATTTTGATAAAGACCCCCCGGCCCCCTTAATGAACTACGTTCCGATAGCGATAGGATAGACATCTGTACATACGTTAGGTACGCCCAAGTTCATTTCACGTCGTTGTATTGTTTCAGAGAAACCTAAAAAGAAGGAAAAAGACGAGCCTGTTTATGATAAGAACTGTAAAGATTATCTACCGGCGACAGTTTGTGCTAACCAGAATTGCAAAAGAAACAGTAGTTACAAAAAATTGTACTGCAAGAAAACATGCAAAACCTGCACAAGTCAGTAGCATTTTTATTTTTGTTACCTTTGCTGTAATATATGTCTTCACTGTTGGATACGGGATCAGTGATTTCAATTCAATAGTTAACACTATTCAGCACTTCCACTAGCACAGCTGCTCTGATGGTGTTACCCTTCACACTTATTCCATTCACTTTCACTTTCAGGTGAGAAAAAAGTCGAATTACAAAGCGAATTACAAAGTGAATTACAAAGTGGATTACAACGTGGATTACAAAGTGGATCTTGTCAAGACTTTGACCCTCTTTGTAATGAAAAAGAAATAGCTTCGCTGTGCGATGATTCTGAATTACAAAAGATTTGTCCAGCAACTTGTGGACAATGTAGCTATGAGAATAATGGACAGTGCAAGGACAAGAGAGAGGCATGTAAAACTGATGAATTGCGGGAGTTTTGTTATCACCCAAATGTGAAAGACCTCTGTCCGCTATCTTGTGGACAATGTGGTATGTAATTGTTATTAAATTATAAATTCATTTTGTGATTACTTTATTCGTTAATTAGTGAGTAGTTAGTACAATAATGAGTCATGAAAACTGAAAAGGAGCTAGCTGACATTTTTCATCGTATGGGCTAACTAATAAGTATTATTATATATAACCATATATAATATTATATATAGTTCTTGCTTCAATGACTCAGATAATAAATTACCATTTTTGAATGAGTAGCAAACAATCCAGAGATTTTATTGAATATGAACTATTTTATGTGTCAAATTGTAATTATGTAAAAATGTAAATAAAATTTAAATAAAAATGCAAATAAAATGTAAATGTATATATTGTATATAAACTTATTGTTTCATTGATTTAAAGTCGCAGTTCACGAAGGAAAGTTTCGAGAAACTTATTGTAATCATTCATTTATTTATTAAAATCTTATGGCTTTCAGTTTCATTCAACGTTTTAATCTTTAAAACTCACTAAACAGTCAATTTCTTATCTTGGCTTTTTCATGTTATTATGTCTATTATCATAGAATGTCTATTATCATAGAATGTCTATTATCATAGAATGATAGACAATAAATATAACCAAATCCATGTATCCATAGGCATGAAACACTGCTGACTTTACGATATTTAATTCGGCAGTATCTTAAGAATGTATAATACCAAACATCTCATTGCCGTTCTATGTTTGGTGTTGCATGTTCCTGTTTGCCAAGGGCTTTTTGATGGTTTCATTGGTAAGTGATTTATAGCCTTACGACCTTGCAATTGAATTCAATTAGAGACTATTATTAGGAGTTTTATGTTATAAATATTATTTGCATAGACAATCTAGGTATTTTTCGATTTGGGTTAAACGAGGACGAAATCAGCCAGCTAAGCTTTTGACTGATTTAGTAACCCCGAAGACCGAAGTTAAGCCGTAGTACATGTACATTGTACATATTACATTACACTGGAGCTTACACAGTGTAATTTCCTCTGCGCCGCCTACGTTTATATAGGCGCGCGGCGCAGACTGGAGGAAAGTACACTGTAAGCTCGATTCAGTGTAATGTACGGCTTTTGTAAATTCGAGATAACAACTACATTTAAACATGCAGGTGGTTGCAAATGGCGGGCCATTATCACAGGCGACTTGTTGCAGAGACACAACAACATAATCGATCCTTTGGCCTGCGAAACACTGTGTAAGGAACACAGTGATTGTGTTGCGTATACCTACATGGGAAATCTTCTGAGGAACCCTGGTAAAATAAGTTTAAATTTGACCTTATTAAGTTATCTCTGAATCAGAGGTACATTCACAAGAGGTTCTGATTAGTTCCATTCTAAACCTTCAACCTCACTGATCTTTTTCAGATCTTGAAATATTAGATGGATTAATCCGTTGCAAACCATGACATACAATAGCATACGTACATATACCGTATATTATTACAAGCTCCTCACTCGGCAGGTGCGTGTTTTCTCCGAGGGACAGGGCACAGTCCACTTAAAGGAGCCGGTAAGGAACTTATCGTCAAAAGTGGGGCCATTACTGGAATACCGAACTGTCAAAATACAGGTTAGAGGCTTCCCAAGTGACGTCATTTAGATCATTGAGTTTTAATTTTAATCTTAACCCTTTACTTATCAGGTTTTTCAGATTATTGGTCGGCCAATATATGAACAAATTGTTAAGTTTTAACATCGTCCTTGTCTTGAAAATTCTTCCATTTTTAACTTAATCTACTTCACCCCAGATTCTTGCATTAACAACGAGGTTGTCTTCACAAAAGGATTAATGGAAAAGTTAGAAATGATCCCAAATTTGGAGGAATGCAAACGAGCCTGCCTTATTATTGAAGCCTGTGCTCTGTTCACTTTCTTTCCAGGTATGAAGGTTAACAGTTCAGTCATATGGTGCTATGGCAGTTAAACTTCTAGTGCCTTACCAATTTAAATTCCGTAAAATGGCAAATTTTCCGATGTGACACTAACCATATGGGCTCTTTGGATTAATGGAAATAAAATAAGTATATAGATAGAAAATATGTGACCCCTGGCGCGATTTTCCATAATTTTTTGCCCGGTAATATATCGGTCCGGCAGAAATTCCGTCCGAAATTCAAAACACGATGCTATATTATTCAATCACATTTTAAGATTTTATATAACAATCATACTGAGCTATAAACCTAGATAAAATGTTGTGCTTCCTGAGAGACGAAACCGCAACCGTTCTACACAAAACGAAATCGGTGAAAGTTGTTTCGGGAATTCTTAACTGTAAGTGTAAACCTGCTATTAAAAGTATAAATCTTCGTATTTAAAAAAAACCTTCAGTTAATGTACTTGGTCCTGACTTTTAGCTCATATTCACAACAGAAATGTTAGTGATGCAGATTTTCTTCTTAAACATTACAATTATCCATCGACTATTCAGGTGATCGTACAAGTAATGGAGTCAACCAATTGGGGAACAATTTTAAATCACAAAACAACCTTGACCGTAATGAACAATTCCTAAAGGACGAAGATGCAGAGATAAGCATGTATCACTCCAATCAAGACGGTGTTGGGAGATTCATGAAATCGAAAAATGAATTGGAGGAAAACGGGAAATTTAAAAAAGTAGTGTTAGATGATGTAGAGGGGTGTTCAGTTAATATCGGAAAAGATAAGGCAAGCACCACTGAGCTACCCATCCCAGTCGGTAAGTTGACTATTAGTTAACCTAGTTTCTTTGTGGACACAATCGAATGATTTTGCTGCTGCTGATATAGTAGAAAATATTTAATTTTTCGTGTGTTTACCTCAAAAGCGTATCTCCAGAGGCTGTCTTCGTGTTCAGAAGTAACAAGATCTGCTCCTTGTTCCCTCTTTTTTCCTCTTTTTAATCCTTGCAAATTCTTCATTTTTCCGTTTATATGACCCTATTAAGAGAACTGTTTTGTTTTGAAACCCCAAGGTGGAGGTTGGCGTGTGCCGCAATTTATTAATCAATGGTTATTACATAAATGAAATTATAGAAGTCACACTAAAATATAATAATGTAAAATAAAATATATTAAAATGAATGCCCTACTAAAAGTACTATATAACTAACGGTCTGCAAAACTGGTTGAAGTCGCAATTTGTAAACATGCTAATTACTATTTAATAATAATAGATAAAAAGTTTTGCGCGGCAGATGTAAATTCGGCATTGCATAATGGCAGTGAAATTAAAATGATATGTTGTTGATAAAAGATCATGGTCATTTGTCGCGAGTGATCTTTCTTTACGCGTTGTCGCTTACTAACTCGGTGTTGTAGTCTATCTGCGAGCGCCCTTCTCTTTGAGACTTTCTTAGCCCAGGTATACTATAAAGTAAGAAATTTGGCCAATTCATCGTCTCCTGAGCTTTGCAGCTTGAGGAGTTCGCGCTTAGCTGAATTTTTAAAGATTTCAATTGAAAAGGTAGAACTTGGAATAGTTATATCCTTACTTTGTTTTGTAATAGAGAGCATGGGTCCTTTGAAGAAAAGAGTATTTCTAAATGTTGGGCCGTTGTAAGTTGTGAACCAAGAAAGGTTATGTTCGTATGTGGAATTATAGGTGGGAATATCGTGAGGGAAAAGTTCTTTGATGGATTTAGGGAGAAGGCTTGGCATGTTCCTTACTTTGTGTAGTAGAATAAGAGCGTTTTTTACAATGACGCTATGGACTGTTAGGATATTATGCAATCTAAACGCACTTTTTGTGTGCTCCGGGGGATTGCCGTCTTTATATCTATAATTTACATATCCTGACATAACAGCTCTAATTCCCTGCTTTTGCTTGGTGAACAGAGATTCAATGTGACCTTTTGAGGCAAATCCCCACACTAAAGAACAGAAATTTAGATGGGATTGGATAAGGCTTTGGAAAATGTTTAGGCGGGCTTTGATAGGTAGAAGGTGCTTTAGCTTATACATAACTCCGAGGTAGCGACCCATCTTTATTCTAACTGCCGTAATGTGTTTTTGCCAAGTGAGCTTTTCGTCTAGGATCACTCCTAAAAATCTTGCTTCAGTCTTACGTTCGATTACAGTGTTGTCAATGGACAAATTAAAGCCGCTGAAGTCGATTCTTTTTCTAGTGAAAATCATGTAACACGTCTTTTTTACATTTAAAGATAGCCCATTAGCACCTACCCAATCTACAAGACGTGAAATTAGCTGATTAGCTTTTAATTGTATTTCTTCTAGGGTGGTTCCACTAATTAATATGTTTGCGTCGTCGGCATAAAGGATGAACTTTGCAAAATCACTAATTCCAGGTAGGTCGTTTATATAAATTACAAATAAGAGAGGTCCTAAAATGCTACCCTGAGGTACGCCGTAAACTATGGGCATGCTAGAAGAGCAAGTTCCGTTTAAAGTTACGTATTGAGATCGATTACAAAGGTAAGATCTAAACCATTCGTGCGCGACTCCCCTGATCCCACAATGGTCAAGCTTCTTAAGTAAGGTCTCATGATCAAGCACGTCAAAGGCTTTAATGTAATCGAGCAGGAGCAGTAGGGAAATTTGTTTCTTATTCAGAGAGTATAGTATAGAATTTTGGGCATTGAGCAGTGCATGTTCGCACGATCTTCCTGGCCGAAATCCGTATTGATTTTCGAAAAGAGAATCGTTCTTATCTAAAAATTCTAAAACACGAGCATGCATAAGTTTCTCATAAATTTTCGAGAATGATCCCAAAAGAGAGATCGGCCTATAATTAGCTACTTCCAATTTTGAACCACCTTTGTGGATAGGAACGACTTTCGCAGTTTTTAGAGCATTTGGGAAGGTACCACTGGAGAACGAACAGTTAATGACATTAGCTAGTGCCCTGGTAAAGTTTTCGCAGCTGTTTGCAATTTTCAATGGCTCAATTTTACAATCGAGTGTGGACTTGTTCTTAAGCCCTGATATTATCTTTTGGACTTCACCGTGTGATGTAGGCTTAAGAAACATCGAGTTACTACACGAAGCCTTAAGAAAATGCTTGAAACCACCTGGGTCAAAGGTTCGACGGGCAGCGATTTGCCTCTTGATACTGGCTGCAATACCGGAGAAGTAGCCGTTAAATTTCTCAGCGACTGCCAGATCGGAGCTTATAATCGTGCCATCGTCGTCCTTCAGACGGGTGTGTCCGAACTTTTTTCTGTTACGGTTCAGGAGGCCATTGATAATTTTCCATTGATTTTTAGAGCAGTTTTGGTATTTGTCAAACATTTTCTTATAGTACTTTTCTTTGGCTAGATTCACCAAACTTCGGTTCTTTCGACATGAAATTTCAAATTTCGCCATTCTTGAATACACTCACTCGACAGAGAGCAAGTAAAAGGGCATGGAAAGTTTTATCTTCGCAAGGTTGCCTCTTGATGTCAGTTATTTCAGTTATGAGCTTCAATCGAACAAAGGTGATTCTGTCTAAAGGAACGTCGTTGAATTCACTAGGAATTTTGTCCAAGGGGGCCACTTCATTGTGGCACAATGCCCAGGCTTTGTATCTGTTTTTCGACCAGTTATTTTGATTCTTTGTCCCCTGACCCTCCGAATCAGCTGCCAGTAGCTGCAATTGATCTTCACTCAGTGGTCGGATGTTTATGAATAAAACTCGACAGTCACAATCACAAAAATTGTCTGTTCAACAAAGGATGATCTAGCAACTGAAGTTAGCGACTGACAAATTTGGAAATGTTCAAATTTGGGAACGTGAAAAATAAAAGTGTGCAGCATGGTGCGCGCACCTCTTCCACGCTTTCCAGGCACGTGACTTCTCATGAGAAAATATCCAGCCATGGCATTATCGATTTGCTATGTGTTGGTTCAGCCGAATTAAATTATTATATAATCAAGTTTATTTTTCTTGTTTAGTTAGTCATTCGGCTAAAAAATTAAGCAACTTATATTGCATTACCATATTTTATCAATTAATATACCAAAATATGTCATTGTAATTTTGCATGGCTGGAATGTAACTCTTGATTTATATATAATAATTTATTGAGTTAAAAAAAAAATATATATATATTATGGATTAAAGCTATACAATCACTTTCAAACTTATTTACCATTCAATTCAGATTTCAGATAACCTTAGCTCGCCTACAACCTAATTGTGTTAGAAAATGAATTTCTTGGAACACGCCTCCTATGCTTGTAAAGAGCTAATCAGCTTATTTGATAAAAGTTTAAACCGGGTAAACTTATGAAATTCAGTTTTAATAGGCTCATTAACACAGGTTCAGATACTGTCATCTATTGCAAGTCGGAGATTCGTAAAAATGTCCACATCATTTGTGAGAAGACACGACAAATCAAGAAGAATGAACTTCCTGAGTGCAACAGAAACTTCGTCGTCAACTCAGGTTTGTTGCTCTTAGGCGATTCCGTATTTTCAATGTTATTTTGTAAGCAATTACTAAAAGATCGAGCAATATAATTGACTAGAAATTATGATAAAATTTAAAAATTATCACAATAATACGGATCTTAAAGCTATTAAAACGTTTAGATTCGCGATTTTTTTCTCATAATTAACGTTTCTATAAAAAGATAAAAGCACGTTCAATTAAAAATTAAGTTTTAAAACTTGCACCATTGTTGATTGTTGGAAGTTAGCTAGATCGGCAGAGAAATGCCCAATCTTCACAATTAAATGACAATACAGCTGTCCCCTGGTCAATAAGGTGTTAGAGACTTGTCCGTGTGCAATCTCACACTGGAGTTCAGACCACGTTGATGACATGTGTTATAGTGAGCGTCAGTTGTAGAGTAGTTGTTCTTGTTACAGTTGTAGAGTAGTTGCTTCAAAGTAGTGTTAATGTATTTTTCAATGCCCCTGAAGATATGTGAAGTATTGTGTTATATGTGTGTACAAAATCACCTTTTTGAGCGACTTAAATGTTATTTGAACTGTGAATAATATGGCATTCCACTTAATGACACAAAAGCAATTATATTTATATAAATGTTCATGTTCAGCCACATGTCGGATCTAAAACAATCGTTTCTAAAAAAACATATTGCTTAGTTACAGAATACAGATGTTAGGTTACAGTTGATAAGTTACAGTTACTAGGTTACAGTTGCTAGGTTACAGTTGCTAGGTTACAGTTGCTAGGTTACAGTTGCTAGGTTACAGTTACTAGGTTAATCACTAACAGTGATCTGTTAGTTATTACGGATGTATATCAAGTATAAAGTTAAACTCACGTCTGGTATGGTTGACGGACGGATCTCGTTTCCCAAACACCTTTATTTTTATAAACTTCCTAAAACTTGGCACGGTGACACAGTATATAAAGAAGTTCGACATAACATTTAGCAGGGTTAGATATCTTGCAACTACATGGAAACTATCCGCCGATCTCCCTTCAAACATTTTATGTCTGGACGTCACGAAGTACAGTGCCATGGGCATGGAAGCAACAGAACACACCACAGCAGTGGACACCACCGTCAACAGTCCGTGCCACACCAACCTTCCCCCGCTCACTCTGGCTACATTTCTAGCCTCCACTAGATACAGTGTTATACAGATAGTGTTCAGGATAGTTACGGTGTTGGGGATGCCTGCTAATAAGGCAGCACTGAGAGGTACAAGCCAGTCCCAGGTTGCCGCGTTATAGCCGTATTCTCCGTAATAAGTTAGGGGGTCGAACTTCACGTCGTCCTTATCTATAATGAAGAATAATATTGGCATGTAGCCAGATATTATCCATATGCACCCACACATTACGTGAACATTCCTCTCTGTCAAAGATCTGGATCGTAGGGGGTGTTTTAGTATAAACAGCTTGCTGGAAGTAAGAGCACATACGAAGAAGACGCTGGCTGAGAAGGAGAACCAGGTAACATAGACACGGATACAAAGCAACAAATTACCAAAGATCCAACCGTCAGCTGCCAGGGATATAGCGGCTGGTATGACGTAGGAGAAATTGAGAGTCAAGTCACAAACAGCAATATGTACGATCAGTCCTACGATGAACTTGTGTAGTTTTATAGCTCTGTACTTGATGGCTGCCACTAGCACGATAGTATCTCCTATCAAGGATGAGATGACAATAATAAGATGGTATCCTAATATGCAGTATCTTTCCGCTGAACTAAGCATCACACTTGTTGTGTTATTGGTGGTCGAGTAAATCATCGCTGTGAATCACCTTTGGAATTATTTGATATTAATGACATAGTAATTTAATTCACAACTTCGTCCAAATAATGTTATAAGTTCAAACAAAGGATAGGCTAAGTGATACATTTTCACAAAAGGTAAAAGTGTCGTCAAGAGCTAAACTGTATGCACTGTAATGATTATTGAATTAGAAGCTACCACCAGGTACACATTAATTTTATTGATAGTTTTAATATCTCATTATCATATCTGACATATAACATATTGTGTTTCTGACAATTCAACTGAAAAGGTGTTGACAATCACCATGAATCGACAATATTTAGTATACCGTAACATGTTAACAAGGCAAGAACACTGTTTAGTATGTTAGAGGGTTTGTCATCCCTAACAAATATGTCTTAGTGGCTCCGACGGCCCGCTCCGACTTTATAGTTAATGTATTTAGTTATTTCCAGTTATAAATATAAATTAATTTTACACTGTCATATTTATATATATGTATATCTTAAATATGCAGCACGTACTTTGAAACAAAAATATTCCGAAGTGAAAACGCAATATTCAAATTCATAAATTAACAATAAGAATTGACATTTGACCAGTTTCCACTACTACTCTTGTCTCAAGATGGCTGCTATTTGGTTAGAGTTAAAAACCTTGACATGCTAAATTAACTGTGAAGCCGAGAAAATCAGCACTTTGACAATAAAAAATCGCTATAACTCACGAAATGATCTAGGTCTGATGGGGGGTCGAGTAAAGTTTATCGTTTTGCTCATTTTTTTGACTCATAATCTTCTAAAGACTAAACGCTATTAGAGTGAATAGATAATGTTCGAACATTTGTTCTTCGATGATAACAAAATAATGAAAAAAACATGCTCACAGATACTATGTATAAGAAATGTTGCTCAGGGGACTTGTGTAAAATTAACTTTACTTTTTAAATACAATTTAGAAAGCTTTACTCCAGCTGCTTTTGCCGCACATTTTGATTAGTAAATAATCTTGTCTCCTTCTTGAAGATCGCAAAATTAGGCACATCAATTAAGGAGCGACTCCTACTTAGTTAAATGTAGGGTTCGTTGTCTGATGTAAAAGACTTAAACTGTTTTAAGATTTTCGCGTGCTAATCATTATGATAACGACGGAAATGGCCATATTCATACTTTATTAATTAAGATAGATATAATGGAATAAGTTTAGCCGCTTTGAAGTGAGGGTACTTAGCAATGCTTCTTTAATTGTTACATTTACGCTTGAAAATTAAAAAAAGGAAAGCTCTATCTGCGCACGAATATAATAAAATTCAAAGCAGAACAATCAAGCAACGTGTTACACATTATACCTTTATCAATATGAATTAGAAAACATTCCATTCGTTGATTCAACTGTACATTAAAGAATACACAAATGCAAATATAGCTGTCGTTACATCACTATTGAATATTGGTGCATTGTAACTGTTCGATCACTGAAACTGAAAATTGAACCACTTTTCATGTCGTATCTCCCATTTTCAATTTAAACTGCTATTGAGTATACGTGATTTAAGGAACAAAAACAGAAAAACTTCTATGAACTGAATAACCAAGATTACCAAGATTATGTAAAGATGTACTGCAGCAGGTTTCTAAGTCTTACACTACCCAAGTGAACAAAGAGAAATGCTCACTGATCAGCAGCACGACAACAAGTAAAGCAACATGTCAATAACTTTATAGTGTTTAAGTGTTACTTAACGTATGTAACAAATTGCTGAGTTACTGCAAATATATAACTCCTGTATGGTAACTACTCTGTGTTCGCAAATTAATAAATAACTTACAATGGTCTAATGACTACCTGGAACCTCTGTTGCACAGTTCTCCATGCTGCTCGATTATTTGTCAGTAGACATGATTTTCAAATGTGTAAATGTGTAAATGTGTGACCTTTTGAGCCTCGGCCTTGAATACTTTAGAATCAGGAATGCTTCATGTGTTTTAGAGACACGTATACTAGGAAATATTCCATTGGAATCTGGATTCAAATTAAAAGTACATCCAACGTACGAATAATAAAAATATAAAGTAAAATGTATAAAGTAAAATGTACAAACTCGAGGACGAATGGAGAAGGGTATAACGGACGTTCTGTGTAAAAAACAGTGTCGCTTTATTTCATGTGATAGGTAATAGGTATCTCATAATCCTGACGCATTATTACGTAAGGCACTGTTTCTATGTGATACCACAAAATGAAGTATCACCGTACCCGGGTCTTCGCGGGTTGCGGTTCATATTTAGCGGTGATATCAACCTGACAACCCACCACTGCACGATGTCTCTGTAATTTAATATATTTTATCTACTGGTACTGTGTCTACTGGTACTATTATTGCTTTACTTTCAGGGCACTGTAAAGTATCTCCTCCAACAGGAGTTATAACGTACCTTTACTTTCAGGACACTGTAAAGTATCCCCTCCAACAGGAGTTATAACGTACCTTTACTTTCAGGGCACTGTAAAGTATCTCCTCCAACAGGAGTTATAACGTACCTTTACTTTCAGGGCACTGTAAAGTATCTCCTCCAACAGGAGTTATAACGTACCTTTACTTTCAGGGCACTGTAAAGTATCTCCTCCAACAGGAGTTATAACGTACCTTTACTTTCAGGGCACTGTAAAGTATCTCCTCCAACAGGAGTTATAACGTACCTTTACTTTCAGGGCACTGTAAAGTATCTCCTCCAACAGGAGTTATAACGTACCTTTACTTTCAGGGCACTGTAAAGTATCTCCTCCAACAGGAGTTATAACGTACCTTTACTTTCAGGGCACTGTAAAGTATCTCCTCCAACAGGAGTTATAACGTACCTTTACTTTCAGGGCACTGTAAAGTATCTCCTCCAACAGGAGTTATAACGTACCTTTACTTTCAGGGCACTGTAAAGTATCTCCTCCAACAGGAGTTATAACGTACCTTTACTTTCAGGGCACTGTAAAGTATCTCCTCCAACAGGAGTTATAACGTACCCCAACTCTACAGAGTATACTCATATCCCTGTAGGAAGTGCTCTAGTTGCTCTATGTGCGGGTACCGAGAATACAGAGCAACCTTACATCCTGCCGTGTCTTGCTGAAAATCCTATTACTTGGAAAGGTTTGTCAAATATCGATCTTAATTATTTAAACCTATTAATACTTGGTATTTTTCCCATTATTTTGTACGTCATTGATATAAGAATGAGTTAAAAGAATCTTGATCCAGGTCCTTTGCTATTCAATATTTTGAAAATCTTGGACCTCGTTTTATGACGATTTTTCCAGGTTGAAGATTTTCAAAATGGAATACAAAATTTTTAAAGGCCTATCTCGAAATTATAAAACGAGTGAAATCTTCTAAATGGTCTTAGAACATATCCTGAAAGTTTCAAGGTGATTGCTCAAAAAATGTAAGAGAAGATAGATTTTTAGACTCGATTTTCAGGGCGCGCAATTGAAAATCGCTCGCGCAATACAATTACACATGAGCGCTGACCTTTGACCGGCAATAATTTCGACTAGGAACAATATTTTTCCATGGGACCAAAAGTAGCAGATAGATATCACTCCCCTCTATCAGAAACAACTATAAAATCAATTTCGAGAGGAATTTCATAAAGACCCCCCTGCCCCCTTAACCGTCCCTTATAAAGTTATAAGGTCAGAGGGGGGGGGGGGGGGGTTTCAGTTTTTCAGCTTTTGTGTTTTAACTTACTGACTTAAGGCGTCTTCAACGTCCAAGTATCGATGCACTGTCTCCATAGCAACCCATCTACCATAAGTCTTCCGATTTCTGCGCAGATGTTAACCGTTCTAAGATTTCGAATAGTAACATTAGGGAGGTTCCCAATAGTAACATGTTAATTATTACGTGATAATTGTAGCCAGTTATCCATCCAAGCATCCGATAAGACACGCTGTTTATAGTGTAAGTGAGTCCGAGTATCCATGATTTTAAGTGACCAAGTATATCATGATTATTTTATTGAAACGCCTTTCAGATTATCCTGTATGCTGACAAGAAACTGTTGCAGTTCCGTTGAATACGCTCCGCTATTTCATTGATAACTACAGTCTGCAGCACAATCTCGGTAATTATCTATAAGTTTGAGTAATTTAACTGTATTTATATTATTACGTAAGCTTAGATAAGCGGCTCCGATTATTGAACGTGATTCGCTAACTTCGCTAGCAGGAAGTGGTGTTTAATAGAACGTAGTTCTAACTCCTATAATACTATATAGTGCTACATAGCACTTACCTATACTAATACTTATATAGCACTCAGTGGTATTGGTCATGATACGATGAGGGAAAGTCTGGACATGAAACAATTGCACTGCCACACGTGAAATGTTCATCTAATGAGGGCGGTAGTAAACTGACCACAGCTATACTTAATAAACCATATTATTTCCAATTTGTTAGTATTACTTATAAACTTTGAACTAATTTTCGATTTTTCATGTCCTGAGCAAGTCTTGAGATTTTTCTGATAAAACTAAAGGAAATATTTAACGTTTCAATGTCACAACATCATATAATTTATGTTCTAAAATTATTTGTTAAATGGTAGTGTCGAAATTATTATTATTAAAACTTTTAATGATGATGAGATAATGAGATTATCCTATTGTTACTTACGTATTGTGATTAGCTTGCATTCTACCTGAGTACCATACGTTGCAATTTAGTCGCTATGTTACATCTGTTTCATCTCATAATTACACAAATACTCGGTTACACGGTTAACCCGGATTGTTCTGTGGTTTTTATACACTTAGCGAGATACATTAGATGTACATTACTTCTTGAAGAATTTTTATGGCAAGTGTTAGTAATTAGAAATCAGAATGCAATGAAGCGAAAAAGCTAGTACTTGGAAACCTGCTCAATAATGCCCCCAGCAAGAATGTGCTAAGCTCGTGTAGTTTCTCTGTTACCTACAAGTTCAATTTGGATAATAAAGACTCTCAATAGTGGCGATCAATCAACACCTGACCCAGATTATCCTATATATATCTAACATGGCATCACGTTTATAATTCTTAGCTCTTTACTAATTTTCTCCAGTCCCATTTTCCTCATGTACTCAGCTCCGTGTCATTGGATTGTTCAAATTTTGTCTCCTTTCTCATTATGTCTCCTTTCTCATAGTCCTCTCCTAGCAAGGATTATTAAGTCTTTATGTAGCCCGATTATACCTGTAGTATTAACAGTAAACTCTACTGCTCTTGCAGCCCCCCCCCCCCCTGATATCAACTAGGGGGGACTACTGTATAAGAATTGGACATTAGCGATAGTTTTAAATTTCAGAGATATACTTTATTGTCTTGGTATGTTGTTAATTGTTAATTGTCTGGGTAGGTAGTTAAATCTCAGTGCGCCTTTTGTCTGGCAGCCCTTTCCACAATGAAATCCTTCATGTTAGGAGATTTTCACTATATCTCCTTACCATCAACACCCATTTCTTTGTTTTTCATTTCTCTAGTTTATCAGTTTATATCAATTATTTTATTGCAGTACCACTTGCACTACCATCTACCGTTGGAAAACTAGCACCACATTGCTATTATCAGCTCTTTAGTTAGGTGTGTTTTATTGTAGACTCCTTAGTTCGTAATTTAGTGCATTGATAAACTTTATTTAAAACTTCGATGTAGATGATTTGATTTATCACTTTGACTTTAGAATAACTTTGAAACAAGTAATAAACACATATAAATTTAATAATAATAAATAGTAAGTATAAAGGCTCAATGAAAACTTTGCCAAACTGACTAGCTCTTTTGTTGGAAAGTATAACAATTATTATTAATTCTTTAGCGTTAAAACGAAGAGAAATTTTTGAATTTGTAAAAGTGTCATATTGCTTAAAAAAAATATTCATATCATATTAAGTGGTCGACCAGACGGGCTCGATCTTTTGTTCAAGAGAGAACAATTAATTTTTTAGAATTTGTATATTGCTATTATGTAAATTTAAATAAAACGTAAATTTTACTATATAAATAGGCTACGTGTAAAATCCGGATTGGAGTATTATTTATGAGTTGCATTGTTGTAATGTATTCTGGGTAAAATTATCTTTATCCCGGTTGTTGCGACAAGTAAAAATGCTCTTATTAGGGAAAGGAGATTACTCGACGTTTCAATGTAACTACATCGTATTCATGATCTAAAAACAAGTGTTAAAAATTCAAAACGTAAAAAACATATATCTGAGGCAAAATTTGTGTACGTTAATTTATTTTTAATCAATCAACTTTATCCAAAAATTCGATACAAAAAAGTCATAACAAAATTCATAACAAAACTAATTTATACGACGACAAACTTTTATAGTAAATACTGTACATTCCTAAAACTACTACTAAATATACTACACATGATACAGAAGCATGGAGTGCTACAACGGTGAACAGGTGCATGATGTGAAGTGTGTAGGTATGTATCTAGTGTGGAGTGAAAATGGCGGGAATCGTACTGACCAATGAGAAGTGTGAAACGTGGGAGCCTAATATGGTTTGATTGATGTTGTAAGGGTAGTGTGTTGAATAGGAGGCGGAAGTGTGCGTGTGTGAGATGTGGTCCCTGTACTCAGAAAGTAAACAAAACTTATAAATATCACTAAAAATCACTACATATGTGTAGACAATCCCCTGTCTGTAAAGTATACAATATGTTACACCCTGTTTATTATGTACTTGTTACTAAAAAACGTTTGATTGTTTCTAACTCATCTCTCTTGTTAATGTTAGGTTTGAACTTCAAAATAAGCATTGCTTCTGCAATCTTTCTTCTAGCTGTGTTGCTTTCTGTTTTTAAAATCTCAAATTCTAAATTGGGTTCTGACCCCCTATGTAAACTGTTATAATGAATAGCAAAAGCTTGACTAGTGTTAGAAGGAGTTAAAGGAAATTTAGCATATCTTAGGTGCTCTCCGAGCCTATCATGTGCCCTCCTGCACGTCTCACCAATATAAATATTATTACAGATTTTACAGGTAATCTTATACACAACGTTCTTCACCTCACAATCTTTATTTTCAGTTATTAATAAAGGACAAATTTTACAAGAGTTAATAATACAGGTTCTCTTATCATACGGTCTGTTATTACACACAATATTTCTTAGTTTTCTAGCTGGGGAAAATATAACTTTAATAGGTAAATTGTTCTGTTTAATATGATTCCTAATTCTGTTACTGATACTGTCTGAGATAAAATCTAACTTAAGCACTGTTCTGTTATCCTCCCTATTTCTATTACTAATACTACTACGACGTCTGTTGGAATAATTTCTGGGTGTTTGATACCCGTTTCTAGTCATAAGACGGTCTAAAATGCTGTATGAATGTTCTCTCTCCTGAGGTCCTGACGAGATCTTGTCCGCTTCTTTATACAGGTTGATCACGGTGTTCGTCTTCACAGATTCTGGGCGACATGAATTCTTGTGAAGTGTGATGTCTTTCTGCTGTGGCTTACGGTACAAGCGGCTCGTCACAGTTCCATCAGGTTCCACTCTAAGCTCTGTGTTAAGGAATGGGATGAACTCTTGGTCGTTCTCCGGAAACTCTACCTCCCACTTGAGTTTCTTGTCAGGGTCCTGGTCTGCGATACTCTGAACAAGTGCTAGAGCTTCTTCTCTTGTTACAGCTGTGCTGGTGGCGTCGTCAATGTACCGCTTGTAGAAGTCAGATAAGTAGACCGACAAGTAATGTAAGTCAGTGTAAACCGAGCTTCTCTCAAACTTGTACACTCTGATCACTGCGCAAAATGGTCCCGGTCTCATTCCCATGAAAAGGCCATCCTGCTGTATCCACAGAGTCCCATTATACACAAAGTATGAACTAGTCAGGATGTGCAATAGGATCTCGTGAACATCAGTCAGGTTCAGACCCATGAGATCAAGTTTTTCCCGGTGCTCAGTGGCCAGTTCTATAACGTCATCAATACAACCTTGGACATTTATGTTGGTATAAAGTGCTGAAATGTCCGCCGAGAAGATTCTCCTGCCAGCTAGCTGTTCTTTCGGAATTGCACGAAGAGTTTCCAGATGTTCAAAGAGATTACCAAGGTGACTGGGTATTTCCTTCAGTAATGGTTTGAGGATGGTTGTCACCAGCCAGCTCAATCTCTCTGTGGGTGAGTCAACACAGCTGATAATGGGTCGTACTTTCACCTGTTCCAGAGGGATGGTGTTTCTGAAACATGCTGGAGAATTCTTGTGAGTCTTGATAAGTACATATAAGATTGGAAGAGAAACATGATCCGGAACTCTGATTTGTCTGAAATAATCATCATCGAGCCCTCGCTGTGTCCATACTTTCTTCCACAATTGATTGGAGCTATCTACCAGTTGAGTGGTCATTCTTTTTATGAGTTGTGAATTCTGGATGGAGGTGGGTTCCGTAACTGTCACTGTCTGACCTCGTACCTTCCTAGTTGGGAGTATCTGCAGGTAAACTGCAGTTTCCTCTAGGTGTTTCTCCGTCAGCGTTCTATGAACGCTGACTTACATTACTTGTCGGTCTACTTATCTGACTTCTACAAGCGGTACATTGACGACGCCACCAGCACAGCTGTAACAAGAGAAGAAGCTCTAGCACTTGTTCAGAGTATCGCAGACCAGGACCCTGACAAGAAACTCAAGTGGGAGGTAGAGTTTCCGGAGAACGACCAAGAGTTCATCCCATTCCTTAACACAGAGCTTAGAGTGGAACCTGATGGAACTGTGACGAGCCGCTTGTACCGTAAGCCACAGCAGAAAGACATCACACTTCACAAGAATTCATGTCACCCAGAATCTGTGAAGACGAACACCGTGATCAACCTGTATAAAGAAGCGGACAAGATCTCGTCAGGACCTCAGGAGAGAGAACATTCATACAGCATTTTAGACCGTCTTATGACTAGAAACGGGTATCAAACACCCAGAAATTATTCCAACAGACGTCGTAGTAGTATTAGTAATAGAAATAGGGAGGATAACAGAACAGTGCTTAAGTTAGATTTTATCTCAGACAGTATCAGTAACAGAATTAGGAATCATATTAAACAGAACAATTTACCTATTAAAGTTATATTTTCCCCAGCTAGAAAACTAAGAAATATTGTGTGTAATAACAGACCGTATGATAAGAGAACCTGTATTATTAACTCTTGTAAAATTTGTCCTTTATTAATAACTGAAAATAAAGATTGTGAGGTGAAGAACGTTGTGTATAAGATTACCTGTAAAATCTGTAATAATATTTATATTGGTGAGACGTGCAGGAGGGCACATGATAGGCTCGGAGAGCACCTAAGATATGCTAAATTTCCTTTAACTCCTTCTAACACTAGTCAAGCTTTTGCTATTCATTATAACAGTTTACATAGGGGGTCAGAACCCAATTTAGAATTTGAGATTTTAAAAACAGAAAGCAACACAGCTAGAAGAAAGATTGCAGAAGCAATGCTTATTTTGAAGTTCAAACCTAACATTAACAAGAGAGATGAGTTAGAAACAATCAAACGTTTTTTAGTAACAAGTACATAATAAACAGGGTGTAACATATTGTATACTTTACAGACAGGGGATTGTCTACACATATGTAGTGATTTTTAGTGATATTTATAGGTTTTGTTTACTTTCTGAGTACAGGGACCACATCTCACACACGCACACTTCCGCCTCCTATTCAACACACTACCCTTACAACATCAATCAAACCATATTAGGCTCCCACGTTTCACACTTCTCATTGGTCAGTACGATTCCCGCCATTTTCACTCCACACTAGATACATACCTACACACTTCACATCATGCACCTGTTCACCGTTGTAGCACTCCATGCTTCTGTATCATGTGTAGTATATTTAGTAGTAGTTTTAGGAATGTACAGTATTTACTATAAAAGTTTGTCGTCGTATAAATTAGTTTTGTTATGAATTTTGTTATGACTTTTTTGTATCGAATTTTTGGATAAAGTTGATTGATTAAAAATAAATTAACGTACACAAATTTTGCCTCAGATATATGTTTTTTACGTTTTGAATTTTTAACACTTGTTTTTAGATCATGAATACGATGTAGTTACATTGAAACGTCGAGTAATCTCCTTTCCCTAATAAGAGCATTTTTACTTGTCGCAACAACCGGGATAAAGATAATTTTACCCAGAATACATTAATAAATAGGCTACATCATTTTGGGAAATGGTTATTATTCTATAGCGGCAATATGTTTCACTTCCTTTTCTGTATTTTGTTTCTACTGCTGTCAAAACACCGAAATCAGTTGTACTTCTACTGGTACTCGATAGGTACAGAAGCATTGGGTAACCGCCAGAAGAATGTTTGGAAAACGTATCCTAAATTTGTTGCGAAACTTATTTTCGAGTTATAGTATTAGTAGTAGCAGTGCCTGTTGTGCAGCCAATATGCTCTTTTTAATATTTGATCCATTTTTGTCCAATTATGCCAAATCACCTCAACATGCCCAAAACCCAGATTATAAGGTCCATCCCGATAATAATATAAAATTTATCGCATGCTAATAATACGGTACATGTAGATTGTAGATTGTACTTCAAATATTCCCGATATAAATGACGATGATATGATGACTATTTGACTGATCTTCGGTTCAGGTCTGACTTGTTCAGCCCTGACTATTGCAAACTGACCATTTCAATTTTGACTTCCATTGAGGAAAGGTCCACTATTATATTAGGGTCCCGCTTGGAATCACTTGTCCAACCTTGACCTTGCGTTGGTAAGATGACTAATGACTAAACCATCGCGAGTTATTTTGGAACATGTAGTTACATGTTCACGATCTCAAAGTTCCCATCTTGGAGAATTCTAACGGGTAACTTTATCAATATTTTTGAAAGCCCGACATCTCGCCAAGTTGAACAGCTGTGGTCGAGACGAAAAAACGATCCTATAACTTATTTAGCCCAGATCATTAGTGCCTCTAAGTCTAAGATGCCAACATTATTGTAAGTTTTATTAAATACGATAAATGTGTGCCCTTTTTCCTCATGGGACTGGAGGTTTATCATTTGGATATGATATTTAGATTTAGATTTGAAATGTTCATTTTTTTTGTCATTGAATGATCAGGCCTTTGTTGTTTCTCAGCTCAGAACATATCAGGACTAACAAGAAATGCGGCCGCTTTTCTTTTGTGGATGGCCGCTCAATTTCCCGATCCGGGATGAAGTATTCTATCATATTCCATACCAGTACCACCTGGGGACCCCAGTCTTTGCTGTTTATAAGCATGCAGATATGGCGGAGTGACAGGCCGAGCGCCGCCCAGTTGATATAATTCTATATTGAATTTGAAAATCGTGTATATTTCTATGTAACTATGTATATGTTGATTGTTTATGCAACCTGACACGGATCTGTGCAAAATAGTAATACTAACTCAAAATAATAATACAATGCTATCAATTAGTCCCTATCGGGATGCGTACATGGTAAAATTAACAATGTACTTGAACATTTCAGCACCGCGCGCCAACAATTGTTTATTTCAGATGATCGCGCAAAATAACTTTGCGCAGGCAGACACGTGGGCGATAACTAGACTGGGGGCGAGGGCACGCACGCACGCACGGTCGCAAAGCTACCATATACAAAAAAAAACCTCGATCGCTAACCCTTGTCCTTGACTCTTTTGTGCCTTCGGCACTTTGAGTCATGGATCGGGAAAAAATACTGGAAATAAAAAGTGCATGTAAAATGAATCCGATAGTTTGAGTTATCAACGAATAACTGTTTCGATCACGTGACATAACTATATTATAAAGGAGCGTTCACATGTGACGTCAGCAGCCGAGGGGGAGGGGGTTTGGAAATGCTGACGGTTTCTAACGGGGGAGGGGGGTCTGATATGAGCCTTGCTGACGTGAGCAGGAATACCTGACTTTTTGCTAAAATTTTTGTTTCAAATCAATTTTACTTTGCTAATTTCCTTAATATTAGTACTTCGGTGAACTGAACTCTGTTAGGCATCAATTTCCCCTGCCTACCGACCCCCTCTTAAATGATCGTTAGAACATACTAACATATCCTGAAAGTTTCAGAGTGGTAGCTCAATAAATGCAGGAGAAGATTGCTCGCGCGATACAATTACACACAAGGCGCAGTTTATATCTCCGCCAAAAGCATCACATTTTAGCATTAATGCGCGTAGTTTTCTCAACTATTTTCACAGTCGCGCCTTCCTGAAGTTACATTAAACAGCCTGTACATTGAAATTAGTACTATACCAGTATTCTGCTTGCTGTAGTATTAATAGTAATAGAAAACAATTAAAAATTGTCAAGGAATTGATTGGAAATGAAATAACACAAAATATATTTAAATAATACAACTTAAAGTGACGAACAAAAAATCTGAATTAAACATCATCAACTAGAGAGTCTTGAAATTCTGCTCTGATGCTTTTTAGCTTCTTTCGCTGCTTTTTTGGAGGTCGACCCTTATTTTTTGTTGTTATATTTGTCGGGTCGGAAAACTCCAATGATATAGGCAAAATAACTCCGTCTGCTGTCCTTTTTAGAGCTCTCGTTAACATCCTGAGATATAATACTTTCATATAAATTACTGAATAGATGTAGCTCAAGTCTAATTCAATACAATCTTATTGTATGTAATAATCAGTATAAGGAGTATGATAAACACAATATCTTTAATAGTACAATAAACATATCATATTATGATAAATGTATTATTTTACATGATTCAAAAATAAACGAATCAAAAATTGCCATGACTTACCATTCAGCGAATTCAGTCATTCGTGATTTGCACTCTTCTAATTCTTCAAGAGGGAGTTCATAAACGCCTGATGTTATGCTCTTGATGACCTGGAGCGTCTGCTTCCTACATCTCGCCAACTTGAGTGCTTTGTTTTTCTGTGATAAACATAATATATATGTTTTTAAAAAACATAAATTGTTTCACAATAGACATTACAACTCTAATCTTCGGCAATAAAATGAAGAAGCACACACAAGTGCCAAGTCATGACATCCGTTTTGGCTAATTTATGTCATAATGATAATTATTGCAGTACAATGAGGTCATGACAAGTGCCAAGTCATGACATCCGTTTTGGATAATTTATGTCATAATGATAATTATTGCAGTACAATGAGCCACTTCCATTTAATGGCTTAAAATGAGGCTTATTGTGTTTGATCAAAACATCAATAGGTGAAGCCTCGAACAAGAACTCGTCGAACCCAATCTGAACCCTTAATATTTACCTCAAGTCTTTGCGGCATTATCGATTCCTCGATGTTCATGTTTGTTGACGGTCCAGGCTGGGAATCTTCTACAATATCTACAATATCTACATCATTGGCTACAATATCTACATCATTGGCTGATACATCATGTAGCCCTGATCTGTCCTCCTGACCTATTGTGACCTCTTTCCTCTCTTCCGCCTCCACCATCTGTTGCGTGATTTCCACCACAGATGGACAGTACAGTCCCGTCATCTGTACACTGGCATTGAACTCAGCAGCTTGATGGTAAACAGCAGGCAACTTGGACAGCTTATTATCTACAACTGCAAGAATGTGCTTGCAGGGTAACCGGTGTTGCACAAAGTCAGGACAAGTGCACCAAACTCTGTCTCCGTTCACGGTGATCTGAAAGGTTAAAAGTAAACAAATGTAAATTATATCATAATTATGTAAAGGTAAATGTTAGTATTTTATGAATTAGCAGTTTCACACTATAGAAGAGTAGAAGAGTAGAAGCGGCCCAAAAAGAGATAGCATTGATTTGATAAGGAATATTCTTAGATTTTCGTCATGTTGATTTTCTATATAATAATAACGCCAACTTAGTGCACAATAAAGGATGTTATAGACATATTTCATACGTATCAAATTGGATGTGCTTTTGGCGGAGATATAACGTGCGCCTAATAATAAACAGGATTAAACATAAACTCGTCAATGAGAGCCCTAACACTCACGTCTTGACTATACATCAATAGGAAAATAAATAATATGTCGTATGATATATTTCAACAACATTTATATAGACCTCGTACTGAAAACTGATCTTTGAGGAACGACACCAGAACTTTCCCTCGTGCTCCTCGGAACCAGGTTTTCTGTTGAACAGAAGATCTTTTGATAGTTCCATTCTCTCTGCTAGATGAACGTAAACACTCTTAGAGCATTTAGAGAGTTCCGTAAATTTCGTACACTTCCTTGCGAATTATTAAACAGGTTAACTAAAACTTAATTAGGTTCCATAAGATGTGGCAAGTACTAAGTATTAACTGGTACTAAAATTCTGTACATATCATAATAATAACTACGGATGTTGTTACTAGATCAACCCCTAATTGTCTCGGATTTAAAAAATAAACCGATCTCGATCAATTGCTGTCGAGTAGAAGAATAACTAGGTTTATATTTAATAGATCAATGGTGTTGTTTACCACATGTTTTAACGTTAGTCAAAGTGACCATGCAACCTTTCCCTCCAATCTATACCAAAAAAAGTTCGATGTAATATAACACCATATTTTAACATCACAAAAAAATATTAACAGTACTTGTGATCTTTTGATGAGAGTTTGACATTTTCCTTGTAGTCATTCAGGCCATCTTGGAAAACCTCGTGGACCAAAATGTAGACCAACTTGGTAACTAGATTAGAAATATAAGATTGGTTATTGGGTCTCAATAAATTTCTAAATTGGTTCACAACAATTTTTGTCAAAATTTTGACTAAACTTATAATTTTTATTTAAGATTTACGGAATACAGAATAAATGCTAATTTTGATTGTAGTCTGGTGAAATGTTGATTGTAGTCTGGTGAAATATTGATTTTAGTCTGGTAAAATGTTGATTTTAGTCTGGTGAAATTATGATTGTAGTCTGGTGAAATACTGATTTTAGTCTGGTGAAATTATGATTGTAGTCTGGTGAAATGTTGATTGTAGTCTGGTGAAATTCTGATTGTACTCCGGTGAAATTATGATTTTAGTCTCGTGAAATCGAATGAAATGTTGATTGTACTTGTAGTATGGTGAGATTTTGCTGATAAAGATGTTTGCAGCTAGCAAATGGTACACAAAATTATCATTAAATCTATTACGGACTAACCCAAGATATTTGCTCGAATCGAATAATGCTTTTTAAGGTTGGAATGGAACCCTTCCACACCATTCGTTGTTTTGATATTCCCTGCTGGTGCTAGTGCCCGGTAACAGTCTGCCCATTTCTAAAAATATTTATAGATTATGATTAAATAGTTAATGTTTCTTATAATATACAAGTTTATTTTACACATTACAGCGATAAACTGAATACTGTTTAATTTCGAAGGATTAGGTGCATATTTTGTCATTATAATAACCCACTTCTGATAGTATATCATTTTTATTTTTTGATATGATCATCTTGACTCGATGTACTATTTACATTTCTTAGAATATGCCAAGTGTACCAATAAGGGGTCGTTCACATATTACGTTATCAATATTTTAGCAATTTTTACCCCCCTCCCCCTTCCGTAATCAACCGTAATGAAGACCCAACCCCCCCCCCCTCCTGACAGCAATTTTACGTAATCATGACCTGACCCCCCCTCCCCCCCCCCCCCCCCCCCCCTTGACTTTTTGCCTAGAAAACACTTTTCTCTACAATACGTTTCATGCTACCCTGATCATGCTATCATGATGAGCCGAAATCAAGCACCTTCTAAACTACTTACTATTATAGCCGGATATTCGATCAATTTCTAAATTATTGTCAAATTGTTATTATTCTAGAGGGTGAAAAAGATCAACCGTAAGCATTTGGAAACCCCCCCCCCCTCCCCCCTCGTCTGTGAACGACCCCTTAGCAAAGAAAACCCAATTGTTTACTTTTATTCATACCTCTTTTAAGTTTGCATAACGCTGTACGTATGACGTCATCTCATCATCATCTTCCAAGAAGTCCAAGACCTTCTTCAGTTCTTGGTTAAAATAATGGTCCTGGTTTACCTCTTCAGTCGGGTTCGGCGTTTTCGCATATATGAGTCTGCACATCTTTACGTACAGAATATCTCCTTTTTCGACTGAAATGTTTGATCAATATTATATATTACGTCCGATTTGGAGGCGGACTATCGCTGTGAAGTACTGTACTGAATGTATCATGTAATGTGTCATTGATTGTTTCTGATGAATAGTAATAATTCTTATGAAACTCGGTAAGGACGATGATCTAATTATCTAAAAGTCTAAATTATATGGGAATCAACAAACTGTGTAATTGTATGAAGTATGAACTCTAAAGCTTATTGCAGATAAAATTATACCTCCCAGCGATTTGAACTTCTTTTGCCAGGCCATTTTGATGTGAAAATCACAGAGGAATATTTTAACCAAGGGGAAGACATTTCCCACAGCCAACATCTCAGCAGAGTCCTGATCCATCAGAAATACGAGAGGCCTCCATCTTGGGGCCCAGGAAACAAGCTTCTTGAGACACAATTCGATTGTCTCGTGATTCTCGTCTTGGGTAATAAAAAACCCGACAGTCTAAAAGATTTTGACATTATGTTTCTGCAGAATATACATTATACATATATATATATATAAACACGTATCTAGCGACGTTGTTTGATGTTTCATTTCGATTAACTGCAGTTGAGCACTCTCTTTGGGAAACCAAGCAACAATAATTTATTATTTATATATATTCATCTTAATATATAATATTGGTTAAAATTTTAAATCAATAAAAATAGTTTATTGTACCAGGTATCTTTGGGGGGTTTTGATCATCACATTAAAGAGGTTAAATGTGTATCTACATACTTTGTATGTAGCATCCAACAATACACGAGACCCGAAGGATTCTAAAATTGGTTGAAACTCTTTCCCCAGGTACACCATATTAAACTTTTGTTCGGCTCCGGAATCCTGCAAACGTTTAGAATAGAATCAATACTCTAATAATAAATATTGACCGGTAACACGACATGTGTCCGACAGCACTATTTTCTTGTGTTTAATGTGATATCTCAAATTTGGCACTAAAAAACTTGCTCAAACTTACACAGATTATCCGTTTTATAACCACCATACTTAATGGAAAGTTTCAAGAAAATCGTACGGTAGGATCCGACATAAACTATTGTCCGAATAACCTATTTTCTGAGTCGGACAGATGTCGCTGTCGGACAGATTTCAACCAATCATATTGACCTATCAAAGTTTTAATCTTTCATATCAAACAGAATATCCTGTAATTAAGAATAAAAGTAACTGATAAATCAGAGTAATATCAGAAATTAACGGAAAAAAAAGCTAACATCTGCGTTATGAAAGGGCTGGTAAAACACAAAGTGACCATCATCTCGTAGCTCTTCGCATAGTTCGCTCAAATTTTTCTGGTCAAACTTTGTCGCTCCTTGAATTTTGTTGAGCGAAAACAATAGATTCCTCAGATCTGCTTTAGTGGGATTCAGGCTTCGATTTTGATTGTCGTAGTCACCTGATTGAATGAACAACTTTTTTGTCTTCAAAAATAACTCTAAAATTCAAAGGGACGTAATTTCAAAATTCTTTAATAATTTACCGTTAGGATTTTATAATCCTAACGGTAAACATTGATGAATCATGACTGATCAAAAGACAAACCTTTCAACAACAAAGCTAAGTCAGACTCAAGTCTAGATCTGATAGTGGGGATGTTTAGATTTCCCCTCGTTTCCTTGTGGTAATACGTTACCAGGTCTTTAACCGTCTTACTCATCTGCTGGGTCGTTCCTCTGAGAAATAAATGACTTAACAAATTATGCATACATAGAAATCATGTAATTAATAATGTATGCAATGTTATATAACTGCACATTATTTTCGATAACGTCTATATAATCAGTGATAATGAATGATACTGCAAGTTTTTGAATCACTTGTTAAACAAAAGTATCGTAAGAGTTAACAAATTTGATTAAGGTTTTATTTTACTATACTCGGTAGTTCTGGGATATAACTTCAAAATGCGAGAAATTGAAAGGAAATGTGATTTTTTTTTCTTCTTCTTACATTGGGGTGTGGCTAGTGTGTTTCAGGTCACATTGCACGTAGGCCACCTTTCTGTCAGGTGTTATAGCGTTGGACAGCAGTGTACCTCGAATGAAACTCTTGCAATCACTTTTCTTAGTTCCTAGGCACAGTCTTTTTCTTTTCGCTGAAATATTAAAATTATATTTATATTAAAAATACTAGGTACTAATAATTTAAATTCATATATCATCTGCATCAGGAAGATGATCACATAAAGCGGAAGAAAAGTGCACATTTACAAAATATCAGAAAGCAAAGGAAAGTTAACCGTTACAAATCAGGAACCTTCATCAAACCGCTTGGTATGACCGTCGTGTCCACAATTCATTAATCTGGTCTTCACCTTGACGTGGGGCTCTATTACATGAATCTGTTCTTTACCAATTATGTGGGACAGTTTTGGCTTATTACCAGGAGTCTGTTCGCAGTCCCTCTTATAGAAGTCTGCATTTGTGAAATGTCGTATATCACTAACAATCTGAAGATAAGGCGGTTTTTTTAGTTAGAAGGGTTATCGGTTAAAAAGGTTTCTATAGAATATTCACAACACGAACCCTTTAATCAGAAAAATAATAACTAGGTCATAGCATAGTTGCAATGAATTTAACTCTAAAATTGCACTGCCTCGGTATTAACATTAACTAGTAGTATTATGCATTGAATTTGAAGACAGATTTAAATAATTACATTCTCGATGAACACTTCGAATTCCTCGAATTTCGAAAAACGTCCGTAAAACTGACAATTACCAGCTGACTTGAAACCTCGAGCGAGCATGAAATTCTCCCTGAAATAATATTTAACTTACTTGATTTTTGTACTGTATAATTGGGTAAGAAGATAATACACTTTGTAATGAAGGTAAACTATCGATGGTACCCAATGAATTGGAGTTATGGTGGAATCGAGTGTGGAAACTGTTCTGTTGATGGCAGTGTAAGGCGACAAACATCCAACCAGTACAATAAGAAAATTTAATCGGTTGCGGGGTCGTAACAATCTTAACTAATATGCATACATATCATAGCAAATAAATTAAATTAACGATCTAACCGAGTCTATATGTATTTATGTTGCCATGGGGTGACAAGTTTCCAGTCATCAAAGCCTAGGGTAAGGAATACAGACTATAACTTGTGCATTTTATGACAAAAGGGCTTATCGTGGCCAATTAAACCCGCCTCTCAAGGTGTCAACTGTAGAGGTTCATAATAGTTACTGATATTTGCCAAAACAAGAACATAATATAATGTCCCAGATAACGTGAATCCTGGGATCATTCATTGCACATTTCGATCAGCTGTTGGTAAGCAAAAGGGTAAAATAAATGGGCGCTATCTGATATATAGACAAAATAAAAAGAAAGATATTAGGCATTTAAAAGTTACAGTTTATTCGGTATCAATGCCAGGCAAATTTAGAAAGGAAATGAACCGTGAGTACCTACAGCTAAGTAGGGCCATATTTATTATTTATGGCAGTCAAAGTGGGTGATAATAAATTCTTGTAGTAGTAGGTATAGTAGAAGTAGCTTCACTAGAATACTATAAATAACAAACATAGATCAAACATCTCGTGACAATTATTATAGCTTTAATATACTGTCATAATAAGGATTACAAATAGCTCAACTCTAACAACTAGATCAAACATCTCGTGACAATTATTAATCTGATAAAGTGCACTGGAACTGTAAACTCAAATGTATAAAACAACAGATCGAACAGTTTAAAATGGAACACAATAAGACAGAGAAAAGGAGTAATTTTCAATCGTCCTCCCTGGAAATCGAGTCTAAAAATCTATCTCCTCCTACATTTTTAGAGGAAGTAGAGAATAAATATTTTTCCACAATAAGACAGAGTAATTGGTCAAATGTTAAACAATAAACTGAATTAAGAGAAGCAAATATTAGTCGACTGAAATTATGATCTGATAAAGTGCACTGCACTGCGAACTCAAATGTTTGAAACAAACTCACAACGGATCGAACAGTTTAAAATGGAACACAATATAAAGACAGAATAATTGATCAATTAATGTTAAACAAACTAATTTGATGTTAAACGAACTTATTCGAGTCATATTGAAAGTAAACTTACCCCGCTAGAATGGAGCTGTCCAACTAGAGTAATGTATAATGGAGCTGTGAAACTAGAGTAATGTGAGGTATTGAAAGTAAACTTACCCTGCTAAAATAAAGCTGTTAAAGTAATGTGAGATATTGTTATCTCATTATTAGATTTGACCTATTATATCTATATAATTTATTATTCTGACAGTACTAAAACTGTAATTATTGTCACGAGATTTAGTCATTTATAGAGACTAGAGTTGAGGAAGTAGAGAATAAATATTTTTCCACAATAAGACAGAGTAATTGGTCAAATGTTAAACAATAAACTGAATTAAGAGAAGCAAATATTAGTCGACTGAAATTATGATCTGATAAAGTGCACTGCACTGCGAACTCAAATGTTTGAAACAAACTCACAACGGATCGAACAGTTTAAAATGGAACACAATATAAAGACAGAATAATTGATCAATTAATGTTAAACAAACTAATTTGATGTTAAACGAACTTCTTCGAGTCATATTGAAAGTAAACTTGCCCCGCTAGAATGGAGCTGTCCAACTAGAGTAATGTATAATGGAGCTGTGGAACTAGAGTAATGTGAGGTATTGAAAGTAAACTTACCCTGCTAAAATAAAGCTGTTAAAGTAATGTGAGATATTGTTATCTCATTATTAGATTTGACCTATTATATCTATATAATTTATTATTCTGACAGTACTAAAACTGTAATTATTGTCACGAGATTTAGTCATTTATAGAGACTAGAGTTGAGGAAGTAGAGAATAAATATTTTTCCACACACAATAAGACAGAGTAATTGGTCAAATGTTAAACAATAAACTGAATTAAGAGAAGCAAATATTAGTCGACTGAAATTATGATCTGATAAAGTGCACTGCACTGCGAACTCAAATGTTTGAAACAAACTCACAACGGATCGAACAGTTTAAAATGGAACACAATATAAAGACAGAATAATTGATCAATTAATGTTAAACAAACTAATTTGATGTTAAACGAACTTATTCGAGTCATATTGAAAGTAAACTTACCCCGCTAGAATGGAGCTGTCCAACTAGAGTAATGTATAATGGAGCTGTGAAACTAGAGTAATGTGAGGTATTGAAAGTAAACTTACCCTGCTAAAATAAAGCTGTTAAAGTAATGTGAGATATTGTTATCTCATTATTAGATTTGACCTATTATATCTATATAATTTATTATTCTGACAGTACTAAAACTGTAATTATTGTCACGAGATTTAGTCATTTATAGAGACTAGAGTTGAGGAAGTAGAGAATAAATATTTTTCCACAATAAGACAGAGTAATTGGTCAAATGTTAAACAATAAACTGAATTAAGAGAAGCAAATATTAGTCGACTGAAATTATGATCTGATAAAGTGCACTGCACTGCGAACTCAAATGTTTGAAACAAACTCACAGCGGATCGAACAGTTTAAAATGGAACACAATATAAAGACAGAATAATTGATCAATTAATGTTAAACAAACTAATTTGATGTTAAACGAACTTCTTCGAGTCATATTGAAAGTAAACTTGCCCCGCTACAATGGAGCTATCCAACTAGAGTTATGTATAATGGAGCTGTGAAACTAGAGTAATGTGAGGTATTGAAAGTAAACTTACCCTGCTAAAATAAAGCTGTTAAAGTAATGTGAGATATTGTTATCTCATTATTAGATTTGACCTATTATATCTATATAATTTATTATTCTGACAGTACTAAAACTGTAATTATTGTCACGAGATTTAGTCATTTATAGAGACTAGAGTTGAGGAAGTAGAGAATAAATATTTTTCCACAATAAGACAGAGTAATTGGTCAAATGTTAAACAATAAACTGAATTAAGAGAAGCAAATATTAGTCGACTGAAATTATGATCTGATAAAGTGCACTGCACTGCGAACTCAAATGTTTGAAACAAACTCACAGCGGATCGAACAGTTTAAAATGGAACACAATATAAAGACAGAATAATTGATCAATTAATGTTAAACAAACTAATTTGATGTTAAACGAACTTCTTCGAGTCATATTGAAAGTAAACTTGCCCCGCTAGAATGGAGCTGTCCAACTAGAGTAATGTATAATGGAGCTGTGAAACTAGAGTAATGTGAGGTATTGAAAGTAAACTTACCCTGCTAAAATAAAGCTGTTAAAGTAATGTGAGATATTGTTATCTCATTATTAGATTTGACCTATTATATCTATATAATTTATTATTCTGACAGTACTAAAACTGTAATTATTGTCACGAGATTTAGTCATTTATAGAGACTAGAGTTGAGGAAGTAGAGAATAAATATTTTTCCACAATAAGACAGAGTAATTGGTCAAATGTTAAACAATAAACTGAATTAAGAGAAGCAAATATTAGTCGACTGAAATTATGATCTGATAAAGTGCACTGCACTGCGAACTCAAATGTTTGAAACAAACTCACAACGGATCGAACAGTTTAAAATGGAACACAATATAAAGACAGAATAATTGATCAATTAATGTTAAACAAACTAATTTGATGTTAAACGAACTTATTCGAGTCATATTGAAAGTAAACTTACCCCGCTAGAATGGAGCTGTCCAACTAGAGTAATGTATAATGGAGCTGTGAAACTAGAGTAATGTGAGGTATTGAAAGTAAACTTACCCTGCTAAAATAAAGCTGTTAAAGTAATGTGAGATATTGTTATCTCATTATTAGATTTGACCTATTATATCTATATAATTTATTATTCTGACAGTACTAAAACTGTAATTATTGTCACGAGATTTAGTCATTTATAGAGACTAGAGTTGAGGAAGTAGAGAATAAATATTTTTCCACAATAAGACAGAGTAATTGGTCAAATGTTAAACAATAAACTGAATTAAGAGAAGCAAATATTAGTCGACTGAAATTATGATCTGATAAAGTGCACTGCACTGCGAACTCAAATGTTTGAAACAAACTCACAACGGATCGAACAGTTTAAAATGGAACACAATATAAAGACATAATAATTGATCAATTAATGTTAAACAAACTAATTTGATGTTAAACGAACTTCTTCGAGTCATATTGAAAGTAAACTTACCCCGCTAGAATGGAGCCGTCCAACTAGAGTAATGTATAATGGAGCTGTGAAACTAGAGTAATGTGAGGTATTGAAAGTAAACTTACCCTGCTAAAATAAAGCTGTTAAAGTAATGTGAGATATTGTTATCTCATTATTAGATTTGACCTATTATATCTATATAATTTATTATTCTGACAGTACTAAAACTGTAATTATTGTCACGAGATTTAGTCATTTATAGAGACTAGAGTTGAGGAAGTAGAGAATAAATATTTTTCCACAATAAGACAGAGTAATTGGTCAAATGTTAAACAATAAACTGAATTAAGAGAAGCAAATATTAGTCGACTGAAATTATGATCTGATAAAGTGCACTGCACTGCGAACTCAAATGTTTGAAACAAACTCACAACGGATCGAACAGTTTAAAATGGAACACAATATAAAGACAGAATAATTGATCAATTAATGTTAAACAAACTAATTTGATGTTAAACGAACTTCTTCGAGTCATATTGAAAGTAAACTTACCCCGCCAGAATGGAGCTGTCCAACTAGAGTAATGTATAATGGAGCTGTGAAACTAGAGTAATGTGAGGTATTGAAAGTAAACTTACCCTGCTAAAATAAAGCTGTTAAAGTAATGTGAGATATTGTTATCTCATTATTAGATTTGACCTATTATATCTATATAAT